TTGAAATGCTTAAGAAACAGAAAGCTATTATTAAATTTTCACCATGCCCCATCAGACTGAAACAAAATACTAATAAATAAGAGCAATTTAGGATAACCTACAGTGTTCGACCATCTTGCCAAACTTTGTGGCAATGAATTATGAACCAAAACGTGTGATATCAGTTATGAGATCCAGTATATATATATTCTCCACTGCTGAAGAAAGCCTGGAATACTCATGTAAATAATTAAATAGCTGAGGTAGGGAAGGAGGGAGGAAGAGAAAAAGGGAGGAAGAAAGGATGGAGGATGGAAGGACAAAAGGTAAAGTAGAAAAAAGCAGAAGAGAAAAAAAGGAGTATAAATTTTGGGGAGAAAACAAATGAATTCATGTGCTTCATACCGTCAGAAAATAAAACTGTTCCCCAATGCACACAGACCCATACTCTATCACACACTTATTTTTCAGTGACCAAAAAAAAAAAAAAGGAAGAAACAAATGTACAACCAGAGTGCTGTAATCTGATGAAGGCCAGGGCCTTGTAAAACATTATTTGTCTGCTTCCTTGGGATAATGTTTGTTCTATTTCAATCATACAGCTTATATCTAACATTGTGCTTCTATCTATAAGGAGCCACAGATTTATGTTTTTGGAATTAGGTAAGTGGTGTTTTTTTTCTTTCCCAGTGAATAGCCATTTTCTCACTAGGAAGAAACTGGACAAGAGAGTCTCTAACTCCCTTCCAGCATCCCAGCACTTTGTGCCAAAACTTGTAAAGCAAAGACTCACATAGCAATTTCTCTTTCCATCTGTCTAGCCCCCCATTCATCCTTCCAGCCAAACAGAAATCATTGAATTCCTCCTAGGTACTTAGCTCTGTGATAGAAGAGCTGGGGATAGAAGAGCAGGAGACAAAATTCCCATCCAAAAGACACTTACTTACCTCCTACAGGTTGAAAAAGACATTTACTTAAATATAACCCAAACCAAAAACCCATTGCTGTTGAGTCAATTCCAACTCATACTGACCTTATAGGACAGAGTAGAGCTGCCCCATAGGGTTTCCAAGGCCATAACCTTTATGGAAGCAGACCACCACATCTTTCTCCCAGATAGCAGCTGGCAGGTTTGAACCACTTACCTTTCAAAGTAAGCACTTTAACCACTGCACCATATAAATCTGAAAAAACCAAACCTCTTGCCATTGAATCGATTCTAACTCATAGCAATCCTACAGGAGACAGTAGAACTGCCCCATATGGTTTCCAAGGAGCAGCTGGTAGATTCGAACTGCTGACCTTTTGGTTAGCAGCCAAGCCTTTGACCACTGTGCCATTGTGCCAGATACAAATATGTAATTAAAAACTGTGATGAATAACATGAAGGAAAATTACGTATGCAATAGAATCCTATAACAGAAGGACTTGATTCAGACGTTTAACATGTCCTAAAAAATAAATAAAACATGTATCTCGATTCTTTAGGGGTAGAGAGAGTATTTTGCCCAATGCCCATAGCCAGTAAAATACTTAACCAAAATCTCTTACTATGTTATTTGTGCTCAAATAAAACTTCTTAGGCCTTTGATTTCTTTTAAAACTCTTTCTGTTGCTGACACAAATACCTCAGAAATGAATGGCAAAATTTTCACTTATAATGACAGTATATTAATTAAAACAAGCTAGAGGGTTTTATGAGGAATAGAAATGAAGAACCCAAAGGATGCGCATCTTATCTTGACAAAGCAACAGCCTTAAATGGGGAATCAGAGTGCTCTAGTTTCCAATAGAACTCATCCTATCTGTGCTACCCTGGCCAAGCTACGTAACGTGTCTAAAATTCACTTTCCCCATCTCTAAAACAACTGCAGGATGCAGTGGTGGTTCAGTGGCAGAATTCTCGCCTTCCATGTAGGAGACCCAGGTTCGATTCCTGGCCAATGTGCAGCTACCACCCGTCGGTCAGTGGGACTTGTATGTTGCTATGATGCTGAACAGGTTTCAGAGGAGCCTCCAGGCTAAGATGAACTAAGAAGAAAGGCCTGGAAATCTACTTCTGAAAATCAGCCAGTGAAAACCCTATGGATCACAAAGCTCTGACCTGTAACTCACCATGGCAATGGTGCAGCGTTTTGTCCCACTGAGCATGGGGTCCCCATGTGTCAGGAACCTACTTGACAGCAGCTGACAACCAAGTAACTACCATACCGTCTACAGGATTCTTCTGAGGAGTGTGTTACTGCACACAGAGGTGCTTTGTGACCGATGGTATAGGAAGGGAGAGGATAAAAACACTAAAAAAGAATCATGCAAATCTGAATCTCCACCTCTCTGGGGGGAATTAAGATCAGCTGCCTGGAAAGATTTCATTAGCTGATTGAAAGATAGCTCTGTCTGTTGTCTTTAAATTGCTTCCCAATCACCCCAAAAGAAAATCCATTACTTAGTACATACAAGGTTGCAGACCCTGCAAAAATGCAGGCAAATGCTTTCTGCAATAAATAACCATATGTGCACTTGGGGATTTAACTTTTTCTCAGAGAGGAAAATGGTATTCTGTTTGGAAGAAACCAATGTTGGTTTGCTTTTTTTTTTTTTCTTTTTCTTTTCTCCCTCTTGGAAATATATTCAAGGACAACAGAGGCACACTGAAATTGGGAAAAGTTCAACTTGAAATGCCACTTCAGTCAGAGGAGTGAGGTAGTAATTCTTGCTAAAGACCTTCTCTTGCGCAGTCACCTATATTTTTACTTTAGGAGCCTTTGTCATTGTTATGGAGTCCATGAAGGGCATCGCTCAAAATGTGAAGCCACCCTGGCCCTGCCCTGCTTGATTAATGGGGCTCCTCTGTGAAATCATGGCTGGAAGGAACCATTTTTAACTGCTCCTGTCAGAAGGAATCACTCAGTGTTTACTTTCCAGGATTTCAATGTAGGTTCTCCAAAGCTGTACACAAGATTATATAAATAGCAATCATTTGCAATACGTGCGACTCTCCTCTGAAGTAAATGTACCAGAATGAATAACTACTTCAACTGTTGATAAGTTACCATCTCAATTAAGGGTGGCAGTTGAAAATAAATTGAGTATTAGTACAGAGAACGGAAGATTGAAAAAAAGAAAAAAAAACACAATCATGGAATGATTTATTTGTGGCCAAGCTTAACAATATTTTGAGATAGAATTATCCTATTTACTCAGTGTGATCTACTTTGTTCTTCAGGCATCCATGGCTTAAAAAAGGAAAGACAAAGAAAGTATGAAAGTCTTCAGCTTTATTAACGCAAACATATTTTTATTAAAGAGTGAATGCATTTATGCTAAAGAATAGTTTACATATGTCGCAAAGCAACAAGCATATCTTCAACGGGTGAGTCCTCCTCAATATTCTCCATGCTTATTCTACATGCCTTAACACGGGACCCATGCACGGGGGGCACACGTACACACACACAAACGCATACACAGACACACAGATACACAGACCAAACGATGACACCACCGCTCTCTGGATCCCTTAAGCGCTCATTTAAGGCTTCCGTAAGGTGCGCCAGTGCCCCTAACATTACCAGGATTCAAAATAGACTTTTAGAAAGGAGCAGCATTCCCTGGAAGACCAGTCATCTGCTCTCAGCCTTAAATGTATGCATTTTAACAAATACTTTCCATTTTATTCAATGTTGACTCTTTGCACTTACAACATCTAAAGATCCACGAAACTCAGAAATCCCAGGCTTTTGTAGTAAGAGCTTCTCGTGAGAAATCATGAACAAACTGGCAACTGTGACCCTAAGATAGCCCCAATTTTAACATAACAGGGTCAGATTTCCCTTTAGATTAAGATGCATGTGGCTTCTCCAGAAAAGCCAAGTTTAGAGAACTGATTCCCTAGTTGAGTGCAATGCTGAGTGATGGGAGCAAGGCTTCCTTGGTAATTCCACATCAGACATGAAGCTTGCTTTGAAGGATTCATCAGCCAGGACCATCAACTGTAATACCAAAAATCAAAAAACCAAACCTGTTGCCGTTAGGTTGATTCCGACTCATAGTGACCCTATAGGACAGAGTAGAACTGTCCCCTAGGGTTTCCAAGGAGTGGCTGGTGGATTCGAACTGCCAACCTTTTGGTTAGCAGCTGAGATATTAACCACTGCGCCACCAGGGCTCTATCAAATGGAATAAGTTACCATAAATCAGGGTTGAAAAAAGGACAGCGTGCATGGAGTTTTATCCACTTGTTTTATAACTCCTTCTCTTTTTCCAGAATGTCTGTTGTCGTGGTCAGTTGGTCGGATTGTTTATTTCATTTGCTTGGTTATTTTCTTCTCTTTTGGTGTCCTGCAGTGTATGTTGAGAATCCATCTCACTGGGAATGTTGGCTTGGGTTGGAAGGGGAAGGAGGACAGAGAGGGTAGGAGGAGGGAAGGGGTAAATTAGTAGCTCCAAGTCTTCTAAGAAAATAGATGATGTGAATACAATAAAAGGGTACTACTTGATATATTTATGTAATAAAAGCATTGTCTTTAACTGTGAATTAACTGCCAACTATTGGGTTGTTAGTTGTAAAGCTCAATAACGGCTGTGCTAGTTCCCATACTGAGGAGACATGCCATGGGGGTGGAGCTCTCAGAATCATCCTGAGGAGTTCTTTCAGCCTTTTGGCCTCCACACCCAAATCAGCATCTCCACCCTCCCATGATGGATAACGTAGGCGCATCTAACATTCTTGTTGGGTTTCATAAGGCAAATTGGAACGATTCATCAAATGACAGCCGCAGAGTATTTGCCTGAGAGTGGTGGAAATCCGCATGGAGATCTCCCACAGCAAGGCATTGGAAAATAGGGAAAAAAAGAAGAAGAAGAAGAAGAAGAAGAAGACAGTCTAGAACCTTCCTCCCCATCTACACCCCCACCCTCCTCACAGTCACAGCAGCAGCAGATTTCAATGCAACGTAATTAATGATACATTTCTTTAGATTTAGAATTGCTCTTCTGAATTTAAAAAGCGTGCTCGGCCAAGAGTTTGGCAGTCATTTCATCCCAAATTTGAATCATCCATTATTCATCTATCATCTTGAATTCCTTGACCATTGCTGCCTCTGCTGAAGCACCCTAAGTTCATTCAGCCGTCATCAGATTCCAATTCCTGGAACACCTCTTTGGAGGAGCTGTTTCTGTGGATCCGGCCATCGCTCTTCATACTGTGGAAAGTTTTCTTGAAGGCCTCCATCATGGCGTGGGCCAGCTTCTTGGCCTCAAGCTTGCTCTCACACTCAACAGCGTGGCAGTCCATCTGGTATGACAGGTCGTCGTTGATCTCCCTGTACACCCAGGCAAAGATGTTGGGGCTCACGGTGTGGTCGGCCGTGCAGTAGGCAATACGGGCCACCTGAAAGGTATCCATGTGGACAGTGGCCTCACCTTTGTGGTCGAGGTGATGGAGCCACACTTGGAAGGGGCGGATTTCCAGGAGAGCATTGGCTGGGAAGACGTCTTCTTGGGCTAGTGTGTGCTTCTTCCAGAGCTCAATGACTGGCTTTTCTGTGCAGCCAGACAAAAACTGCATGCCAGTGGTGGAAACTTTACCCAGATAGGTAACCTGCAGAGGGAAGAGAGGGAGAAAAGGGGAGAGGTCAACAGTAGGCTCTTTGTTCTACTTGATTAAGTGAGTAACCCTTTGCTGTTGAATTAATTCCGACTCATAGCGACCCTATAGGACAGAGCAGAACTGCCCCACAGGGTTTCCAAAGCTGTAACCTTTACAGAGGCAGACTGCCACATCTTTCTCCTGTGGTGGGTTTGAACCACCGACCTTTCATTACCAGCCAAGTGCTTTAACCACTGTGCAACCAGGGCTCAATTAAGTGAGTAGATATTCTCCAATGCTCACGCTGGGAAGGTGGAACAGTTTTGTTCTTGCTCAATAAAGAGTAACTATTATCAGAAATTCTACTGTTCCCCCTAAAAAACTGCCCACTGGGCAAACACATTTAAATTCTTTAAATAGAGCTGGATTTAAAAAAAAAAAAAATTAATTTCTAGAAAATTACTCTCCCTTTCCCCACTCACCTCTGTAACTCAAATTGGAATTACTAACCATGATCTTTTACATAAGTTGGCATTTCTTTAAAATCAGAAATAAAGTCGCTCACATTGTATTTTCAACCAAACGTACACAGACTTTAATGACAGATGAGAGTCAAAAGGAAGCTACACTGGGAAAACAAAATTTTTATTAAACTTATCTCGTAGACTGATTCTCTTTCCAGATCTCTCGATATTTGATTTCACGCAGGCTGTTTGCTTCTAGCAAATGCCAAGGATGCAAAAACTGTTCTCTATAAATTATGGCCTAAAGCATGATTATTTTCCTTCCAAAGAGAACTTCCAAAGATTAAAAAAAATACAGCAATGGCCAGTTATCTTTCAACCTAAACAGTTTTTGACCTGACAGACATCTGGTTAGGATAATAATAAAGTAAAAGATCTTAAGATTACTAGAGGTTAAAACTAAAAGCCTGGCTTGTCAAATAGCTAGATGGGCAGCACTTAAAAAAAAAAAAAAATTATCTACCCTTCTAAGAAAAATAATTCCAAAGGATTCATACAATGCCTTTTTAAAAACTTATTGACAATGTACCAAGAAGGGGTTTTGCATTCATTCGTTTTACCATTGGAGCACTGCCATTACGCTACTGTATAAAACCAAAGGAATAGTTTAAGAAGTAACACAAAATAGTATATAATTAGGTTCAAAATCAGTGGCATGAATATAAACACTATGAGTTTGAGGAGGGAAAGACTAGAAAAAGGTCTCTTAGTGAGAACTGAGAAAGGACATTTGGCCAAAAGGCTTCCAAATTAATGTTTTTGTTTAGTGGGACTATACTGGTTACGCACAAAAAAACTTAATACAGACGTATGATTGCATCTTTTTCTGTATGAGTGCCTTGATTATCACTTAAACAAAGAGAGCTGGGTAATCTCTCTAAAAAGATAACCTCCTAGTAAAGATCAATTGCTGTACATTCTAGAAACATTTATTGGGATCCTATTACACACAGAGGCAATGCGCCAGGAGGGCATGGGGAGGAGGTAGAATGGGGTGGGCCAAAAACCAATAGAAAGGAAGTTACTGAACGTTCATCCAGAGCACAGGCTTCGAGGCAGAGGAGACGCTCAGCTCCACAGTTCACCGGGTGGGTGGTTCTGGACAAACTTCTCACCGTTTGTACATGCACACACACAACGATGGTGCAAGGCAGACCGTGGGCAGGGCAGGCGAGGGGTACAGCAGAAGAGCGTGGGTGCTCGGCAAAGGGAGCCATGCCACCTTGCCAAAAGAAAGCCTTAGGAAAGGGAGTCATTTCCATTTCAAGGCAGCGAGGTTTCAAAAGGCAGCTAGGAGCCCAGAAGGTTGAGGTGGTGAAGAAGAGGAGGAAGCGGTAAAGATAAGGGCTGCCGTGGGGAAAGCCCCACCTGCTCCAGCAAACGGTCCACTTTAGCCTGACCACTCACAAGGCCAAGGCCGAAGAAAGCCCTGGAGAAGAGGCAGAAAGTCCATGACTGCTAGATACAAAGGCTGAACTAATGGAAAACGAAGACCCTGGTGGCCAATATTAAACGCTTGGCTGCTAAACAAAAGGTTGGCGGTTCAAACCCACCCAGCTGCTTCAAGGGAAAAAGTCCTAGTGATCTGCTTCCATAAAGATCTAGAAAATCCTATGGGGCAGTTCAACTATGTCACATGGGTCACCATGACTTGGAATCGACTTGATGGCACCTAACAGCAACAACAATGGAAAGCAACAGGTGTTGACAAGGATATGGAGAAAATGGAATCCTCATCAAAAAGTTAGAAGATAGAATTAGCATAAACCAAAAAACCAAACCTGTCGACTCATAATGACCCTACAGGACAGAGTAGAACTGCCCCATAGGGTTTCCAAGAAGCGGCTAGTGGATTCAGACTGCTGACCTTTTGGGTTAGCAGCCAAGCGCCTAATCATTGCACCACCAGGGCTCCAGAACTAGCATATGATCCAGCAATTCCACTCATAGGTATATACCCAAAAGAACTGAAAGCAGGAACATGAACAGATACTCGTACACCAGTATTCATCGCAGCATTATTCACAATAGCCAAAAGGTGGAAACAGCCTAAATGTCCATCAGCACATGAATGGATAAGCAAAATGTGGTCCATACATACAGCGGAATACTACTCAGTTATAAAGAGAATGAAGTTCTGATATATGCTACAACACAGATGAACCTTGAAAACACCACACTGAGTGAAATAAGTCAGTCACAAAAAGACAAATGTTTTGTGATGCCACTTATATGAAATATCTAGAATAGGCAAATGCATAGAAACCAAAGTTCATTAGTGGTTAGCAGCGGCGAGTGGGAGGGAGGGGGAAAGGAGGATTCAATGCTTGAGTGACACTGAGTTTCTATTCAGGAGACAGGAAAATTTGGGAATGGACAAGGGTGATAGTTGAACAACACAAAGAATGTTGTTAATGTCACTGGACTGTCCATGCGAACACTGCTGAAGTGTGAAATGTTTTGCTACATATATATTTATCACTGCCTTAATTTCTTAGTGCTACTGTCTTAGTTATCTAGTGCTGCTATAACAGATTTACCACAAGTGGATGGCTTTAACAAACAGAAATTTATTCAGTATAGGAGGCTAGCAGTCTGAATTCAGGGTGTCTGCTCCAGGGGAAGGATTTCTCTCTGTGTTGGCTCTGGGGGAAGGTCCTCGTCATCAATCTTCCCCTGGTCTAGGAGCTTCTCAGCTCAAGGACCCTGGGTCCAAAGGACATGCTCCGATTCTGGCACTTCTTTCTTGGTGGTATGAGGTCTCTCTCCTCTCTGCTGGCTTCTCTCTTTTTATATTTCAAAAGAGATGGACTCAAGATACAGCCTAATCCTGTAGACTGCATCCTGCCTCATTAACATAACTGCCTCTAATCCTGCCTCATTACCATCATAGAGGTTAGAATTTACAACACAGGATAATCACATCAGATCACAAAATGGTAGACAACCACACGATACTGGGAATCATGGCCTACCCAAGTTGACACATATTTTGGGGGGACACAATTCAATCTACAACAGCCACTATAACAGAAAACCACAAACTGGTGGTTTTAAAGAACAGAAATGTATTTTCTCACAGTTTAGGAGGCTAGAAGTCCGAATTTAAGGGACTGGCTCTAGGGGAAGGCTTTCTCTTTGTCCACTCTGGGGGAAAACCCTTGTCTTAGCTTCTCTAACCCCTGCATTCCTCAGTTCTTTGGCAATCTCCACGGGGTATCTATCTTTCCTCCATTTGTGCTTGCTCTTCCTGCTTCTAATCTGTTCTTTTTACTTCTCAAAAGTGATTAGGTTTAGGGCACACCTACACTGATATGGCCTCATTAACATAAAGAAAAACCTATTTCCTAATGGGATTACATCCACAGGTACAGGGGCTAGGATTCCAGAACATATTTTGGAGGGACACAATTCAAGCCATAACCACCTCAATTAAAAAAAAGCTGAACTTTGTGGGTGGCCCTGCATGGCAGGCTGACTAGCAGGGACGTCTCTGGACTTGACAGAAGGTCACTGAAGGTCTGTGGCGCAAGGAGTGCCTGGATGTGATCGGGGTCATGGACTCAGAAGACTCGCGTGATGCAGGAAGAAAGATGGACGGGGAGAGCTGACCAACAGTAGGATGCCCAGCCAGGAAGCTTTGCAATAGCACAGTCAGGGGGCCAGAGTGGCCCAGATTAGAAGTGGAGACAGAGTGAAAGGAGAGGGGGAGACAGCTGGGAACACTATCACAGAGGTAAAAGTGACAATCCTTGGCAATAGATCGAGGGAGGAAAACAACTCAGATGACCACTATAAGCTCCTCTGTTCCCCAAGGAGAGCAACCAGTTGAAGAGCTTACCATCACTGTGGATTCACGACAGACAATAAGGGCGGCATGGTACAATAATACATACTCTGCGCATTCTTAAAGAATACTTACTGAACATGCGCTTTCTGTTTATGGGACTTTGTGACACCTTTCCTTTTTTTTTTTAAATGGCTTTATGATGTTTTTCAGTTTTTTTTTAATTGAAGTGAAACTCTAATATCATAAATTTAATCATTTTAGTAGTAAACAATTCATTGGCATTTAGTACAATGTTGTGCAACCATCATCTCTGATTCCAAAGTATTTTCATCACCCCCAAAGGACACCCCACATCCATTAAACAGTCACTCCGTACTCTGCCTCCCCCAAGCCTCTGGCAGCCGCTAATCTCGCTAATCTGCTTTCTGTCTCCATGGACTTGCCTGTTCTGGACATTTCATATAAATGGAATCATACAACATGTGACCTCAAGTGTCTGGTGTCTTCCATCCAACCTAACGTTTCGGAGGTTCATCCACATTGTCGCATGTATCAGGACTTCATTCTTTTTTATTATGCCTTTACTTTTGGAGATCCTGGGTGGTACACATGGTTAATGCACTCGGCTTCTAACTGAAAAGTTGGAGGTTTGAGTCCACCCAGAGATGCCTCAGAAGAAAAGCCTGCTGATGTACTTC